TTCCAGGGAGGGAGGGAGAGGGCCGAAGCACATCAAAACGACATGCATGCATGTATGAAGAGGGAGGTAGTGGGGAGGGGGTGTCTGTGCAGCTGGTGCTCTTGTTCTCCTTAAAGGAGCTTTCCCCCCCCCTTCCCCTCCCTTCTCTTTTTCTCCCTCCCCTTTTGCATTTTAACCCACTTGCGGTAGGCACTGCCTTGGGGGGGGGGGTGCCCAGCGGTTTTTAAGGTGCCGCCAGTGGGGTCGTGCGCCTTGCGTCCGCACTGGGAGCTGAGTGCGGATGTCGTGACTGCAGGGAAGGCCGCCTGCTGGTAAAGGGAGCCTTTTGTGACTCGGCTGAATCTGGAATTTCGTGACTGGTAGCATAAAGAAAGGCTGGGCGATCGGAGACGGAAGAACTGGGCTGCAGAGAGTTTTTTTAAAAAATAAATAAAAGGTTTCTAACCGATGCTCCCAGGTTTTGGGGTAACCAGTGTTGGAGACCTGAGCTTTTAAAGCCCAGGAATCTCCTGGCTGGCCCAGAGCATCCACACTATAAAAAAGATGTTGAGACTCTAGAAAAAGTGCAGAGAAGAGCAACCAGGATGATTAGGGGACTGGAGACTAAAACGATGAATGGTTGCAGGAACTGGGCATGGCTAGTCCAGTGAAGAGAAGGACCAAGGGAGACATGATAGCAGTCTTCCAATATTTGAGGGGCTGCCACAGAGAAGAGGAGGTCAAGCTATTCTTCAAAGCACCTGAGGGCCAGAGGAGGAATAATGGATGGAAACTGAACAAGGAGATGATTCAACCTAGAAACAAGGAGGATCTTTCTGACAGTGAGAACAATCAACCCGTGGAACAGAAGTTGCCTTTGGAAATTGTGGGAGCTTCATGACTTGAGACTTTCAAGAAGAGACTGGACTGCCATTGGTCAGAAATGGTGAAAGGTCTCCTGCTTGAGCGGGCGGGTTGGACTAGATGACCTATAAGGTCCCTTCCAACTCTTGTTAATCTGTTATCTGTATCCCCAGTTTCTGCCTCCGAGGGCTGCATTCTGTCTGCAACCCATGGGGTACTTTTTTGAGGGGGGGTTTGTTCCTTGACACTTTAATCTGGTGGTCCCATTTATTGGTAGCAAAGGCTGCTTTGGGCCCATCTTCCCCCCTGTGAGCACAGGATAGTAATTGCTTTCCCCAAACTGGTGCCCCCCCCCCCAAGTTGTACTGGATTATTATCTCCATCAACTGTGGTGTTGTTGTTAGTTGCAAAGTTGTGTCTGACACATCGTGACCCCATGGACAATGTTCCTCCAGGCCTTCCTGTTCTCTACCATCCTCTGGAGTCCATTTAAGCTCACGCCGACTGCTTTGGTGACTCCATCCAGCCTCCTCATTCTCTGCCGTCCCCTCCTTCTTCTTTTGCCCTCCATTGTTCCCAGCATGAGGCTCTTCTCCAGGGAGTCCTTCCTTCTCATTAGGTGGCCAAAGTCTTTGAGTTTCCTCTTCAGGATCTGGCCTTCTAAAGAGCAATCAGGGTTGATCTCCTCTAGGACTGACCAGTTGGATGGCCTTGCAGTCCAAGGGACTCAGAGCAGGAGTCTTCTCCAGCACCAGAGTTCAAAGGCCTCCATTCCTTGGCCTCCAAGAGCCAAGGTGGCGCAGTGGTTAAAAAGCAGCACTGCAGGCTACTGCTAGATCAGCAGGTCAGCGGTTCAAATCTCACCGGCTCAGGGTTGACTCAGCCTTCCATCCTTCCGAGGTGGGTAAAATGAGGACCCAGATTGTTGGGGGCAATATGCTGACTCTCTGTAAACCGCTTAGAGAGGCCTGAAAGGCCTATGAAGCGGTATATAAGTCTACTGCTATTGCTATTGCTATTGCTATTGCTATTCTTTGGCGCTCAGCCTTCCTTACGGTCCAACCTTCACAGCCATCCATTGCAACTGGGAAAACCAGAGCCTTGACTAGACACACGTTTGTTGGCAGGGGGATGTCTCTGCTTTTTAGTATGCTATCTAGATTTGCCCTAGCTTTCTTCCCCATCAACTGTGCTGGCTGGCCAAGGGCAATGGGCATTGTAGACTGGCATGCCTGCAGGGACAAAGTGGGAGAAGATTTTTTTCCCATCGCAATTCTACACCCTATGGAGTTTGCGTTTAGGGTTCACTGTTCTAGTCCATTAATGCCTTTTAGATCCACAAGGAAACCTAAATTCTTGATGCTGGTTGTGATTGATCCAGGCTTCATTTGACTTCCAGAGGCCTCCATCCATTTTGATGCCATTTGAAAAAATATTTCCCTTGAAGCGTTTGCTTAGAGTTTTGGGGGTAGAATGCCCCTGTAAATGAAGGCTCCACTCCCGGTTAAGTATCTCCAAAGACCTTACTGAGTTCTGCAATCCTTTGTGATTAACCTTGCTGGATTTTAAAGCCGGGGGAGTAATGGAAGAAGCCGGTCTGTTTAAAGAAGGATTATTGCTTACCCAGAAATTAAGCGGTGCTTTGAGTCCTCTGATCTCAAAAAGGATGCACCTTTCGGCTCGCGATAATAACCCCGAAAGGAAGGAGCAGAGGTGTGAATTACGCAAGCACCCTTTCTTTTGCTGGCAGGGGTGCCCTCTGCACATGCTCGAATGCCCTCTTGGGGAGAATAGGTCTTGGGTTTTTCTCTAGCTCTCCCTCCCACTCTTGTTTTGTATATTTAAAAAGAGTTTCTTTTCTTCAAAAGTCCTACTCAGTCATTTTGGTTGCTTCCCCCCACCCCCAATTTTTTTTTTTCCTACCTGGTGTCCGAAACTCCCCTCCCCACCCACCTCTTCCTCCCGTAGATGATCTGTTGTGCACGGACGGCCGCTTCTCAGGCCGCCACCTTTCCTCGAATTGCCGTTCCCACGGGTTTCTCAGAAACCTCCCTCCCATCCGTGCTTCCGTCTTTGCAGTGAGGCACCAGGGGAGGGCAAGGGAGGGTGAAGAAGGGAGGCAGAAGTGGGAGAAGGTTTTGCAATAATAAACCTGGGTGTTTTTGAGCTGGAGGCATGGATAACGCGTAATCCAGCCGGCCGCCTTTCCTTTCCTCCCTCCCTCCTTTCTCCTTTTGCTGACGTTTTTGCAGAGGCGAAGGAAGAGGAGATGGGGGGGGTTGGTTGCTGATCCGCGCATTGACAGGAAGCAAGGAGTTGTGCAGAAGGGTGATTTGCTGTCAACGAGGAGGAGGCGAGACAGGTCCTTTTCTCGGTGTGCGTATGCTTTGTTTTCGGAAGCCGGGGGTTGCCATCTGGCACCTTCTGAGGGCTCTGTGCATCATCTGCGGTCCTCCATCTCTTGTGTCCTTGCTTGTCGTGCGTCCTTTGCTGTCCCTCCATCTCTTGGGTGTTTCGGTGCTGCTGAAGGATGTGGCGTCCTCCATGAGATCTCCATTAGGGGACTGGAGGCTAAAACATTGCAGGGACTGGGAATGTCTAGTTTAATGAAAAGAAGGACCAGGGGTGGACATGATAGCTGTCTTCCAGGGGCCTCTGCCACAGAGAAGAGGGAGTCAAGCTTTCCTCCAAAGCACCTGAGGGTAGAACAAGAAGCAATGGGTGGAAACTAATCAAGGAGAGAAGCAACCTAGATCTAAAGGAGAAATTTCCCGACAGTGAGAATAATTAATCAGTGGAACAGAAGTTGCCTCCTGAAGTTGTGAATGCCCCAACACTGGAAGTCTTTAAGAAGATGTTGGATAGCCATTTGTCTGAAGAGGTGTAAGGTTTCCTGCCTAAGCAGGGGGTTGGACTAGAAGACCTCCAAGGTGCCTTCCAACTCTGCTATTCTATTCTATTCTATTCTAACTAGCCATTTGCTGGGTGCATGTAGGGGTGCATGTAAAATACTGGGAGTTGAAGTCCGCCAATCATAAAGGGACTTTAATTCCCTGGTCTAGGAAGACAATTTTGAGCAGAGGGTTTGTATTTTCTTGAACACTTTATTTTATTTATTTTATTTATTAAAGTCGTTTGTCACCAATCTCACTGCATCAAGGCAAGTCTGGACACAACACAGCAGCTTTAAGATCTGGGCGATGCGTCTCTTAGTTTGATTGTTATGTCAGCAGTGCAACCAAAGGCGATCTGAAATAATAAATCATATTAATTAATACATGGGTACATTTGCTTTTCATAGCAAACAAGGAAGCGTCCCCACAGACCCACTAGAGTGCTGAAGCCCCCTGTCTCCTTAAGAAAGGACCAAGAAATCTTAAAACACGTTTTCAGGTCCAGGTAGTCCTTGACATACGACCACATTGGAGCCTTCCCATTACAGTTGTAGGTCGCGACAGTCATAAAACCTGGTCAGTCCTGTGACCAACTTGATTTACAATTTTTTTTTTTGCTGGCAGTGAAGCAAATGCTGCAGTCATAAAGCAAATGGCCACCGTCGTTAAGTGAACCTGTGGTTCACTATGAGTGAAGTTTTGTTGAACCGTGAAAGTTCAGTGTCGGGTTTTTGGAAAGAACATTCTAAAACAGTCACATTACCGCTGGGCATTGCAAATGGGTATAAATGTGGCTCTGTTGAGTGCCCAAACTTTGGTCGTGGATGGAGTCTGACCGTCTAAAACAGTGTTTCTCAACCTTGGCAACTTGAAGATGTCCGGACTTCAACTCGCTGGCTGGGGAATTCTGGGAGTTGAAGTCCAGACATCTTCAAGTTGCCAAGGTTGAGAAACACTGGTCTAAAACTTGTGAGTAGTAAATTCCTTTTTTTCAGATCAGCGGTGATTTCAAAATATCACTGAGTGGACAGTCATAAATCAAGGACTGCTTCTATAGCATTTGCAAGTGCAAGTGTTGTAACTGCAGTAACTTAAGGTTTATTTATTAATTTAATTTGATCTAATCCTGCCCCAAGTAGCACTAATTTCCATCTACCACTTGTCTTGGTGGGGTTCCGGAAATAGCTTTGTGCCCTGTTGAAACTCCCGGCTTAAAAATCAGCCACCTGATCTAACCACTCCACCTGCTGTTCTCTTTTTCAGGTAAACGACTTCCTGTCCGGGAGGTCCCCCCTGACCCTTGCCCTGCGGGTGGGCGACCACATGATGTTTGTCCAGCTGCAGCTGGCAGCTCAGCAAAACAGCGGGCAGCTCCAGCACCGCCACGTGATTGCCGGCCGCGGAGAACAAGCTGGAGGCGCCACAGCCCCCGCGCCGGCGGCCGGACCAGCTGCCTCCAGTTGCCGCACCCTGCCTGGGAGCACTCCCGCCTCCTCCCCTACTTTTGCCCGGCTCCCTACGGCACCCGCTTGCCCGCCAAGCCCCGTGCCCAGTCCTGCTGCTTCTCCGTCGCCAATGCAGACTATGCCTCTCTACTGTACCACCGCTAACCCGACCCCCGTCACGGCAGGGATGTTCCACTCCCATGGGACCAGCGCACAGACGGTCAACGGAGGCGGGAGTGGCAGCGTCGTGTCTTCGTGTTCAGAGGTCAGTCCTGGAGTGCTTTGCTGGGTGTTGAAACCAACGAGAGTGGTGCATGAGCAGAAAAGACTGAAGCCGGACTTTGGGGTGTGGAGTCCTGACCCCTGGGAGCTTTTAAGGCACCAGACTAGAACCCAGGCAACAGAGTTCTAGTTCAGCCTTAAGCATGAAAGTGAAATAGGTGACTTTGGGCCAGTCACCAGGAGACAGCGAGTTCTAGTTTGACCTTAGGCCTCAAAACTCTCTGGGTGACTTTGAGCCAGTCACCAGGAGACAGTGAGTTCTAGTCTGACCTCAAAACACTGGGTGACTTTGGGCTCATCACCAGGAGACGGAGAGTTCCAGTTCAGCCTTCGGCATGAAAAGTCAAATAGGTGACTTTGGGCTAGTATCAGGAGACGGCGAGTTCTAGTCTGACCTTAGGCCTCAAAACTCTGGGTAATTTTGGGCTCATCACCAGGAGACAGAGAGTTCTAGTTCAGCCTTAGGCATGAAAAGTCAAATAGGTAACTTTGGGCCCGTCACCAGGAGACAGAGAATACTAGTCGAACCTTAGGCCTCAAAACTGTCTGGGTGACTTCGGGCCAATCACCAGGTGAACTGTGAGTTCTAGTCCCATCTTAGTCATGAAAGCCAGCTGGTTGACTCTCAGCCCAGCCCACTTAAACAGTGGTTGTTGCGGGGGAAATAGGAAGAGGAAGTAGGTTGGACATGTTTGGCACCTTGAATTATTTCTAAAAAATAATAAATAAAAGAGATCACAAGGGTTAGAATTGGTCATTAAGTCTCCTTCCACCCTCCCGGGAATCAAGAAAATAATATGTACGTGCATTGGGAGATTTCTGCTATGGACAATTGAGAGGCATTGCCTTCTGGATTTTTAAAAAGGCTCAGTGTTTTTTTTTAATCATTAGTGGCTGTAGGGCAGAGCAGAGAAGGAACTGGGGCCAGAATCAGGGAGAATCTTCCTGTGTTTCTTAGCTTTTTATCTCATGAGAAAGTTGGAGCAGCTTTATTATTACTATTTTTAAAATATGTATATGCTGCCCATCTCATTACCAAGTGATTTTGGGCAGCAAGCTTCCCTCACTTCCTGCACTGCAGCCCCACTATAAGCCTAGGCATCTTGGCTTTTTATATGGGTTATTCCTACAAATATTTTCTGGTTCAGAAATCACTTTCTAATCCAGGTTCTTGAATACACATAGTATTTTTTTATAATCTCCCTGCTATTGATACAGGGAGATGCATAGCTGGGCATTGCTCTTTGTCAATTGTGTGGTCTATATCAGTGTTTCTCAACCTTGGCAACTTGAAGATGTCCGGACTTCAACTCCCAGAATTCCCCAGCCAGCGAATGCTGGCTGGGGAATTCT